TCTATCGCAGATGTTCTCCTCGCAACCATCGCTCGCAGCGTGCGGACGGCCGGGCCAGCCTTCTCAGCTCCGACCGTATGCCGGCTTTGTGGTCACGGTTCGGAGGCGGAAGGTGGGGATATTATTTGCGGGTCCAGAAAATCTTGCTATTGCTATTGCAGAAGCTTCAATCCGTACAAACTCGCACATATTGAAGCAAGTGTACTCGCTCGCGCACGAGCTTCAAGGCGACGTGTATGGCACTCCATCATCTCGTTATGCAAGGCGCATCTATGCAGATGACAACTTACTCGAGGGCTGCCCCGATTGCAACCCGAAACAACATCATGACATCTTAGTCGTCACATTCCATGCCATGCTGGCCGCTTTGGCGCTAATCGTCCTCGCTGTGAATTTCGTCTAGCTTCAAGAACCAGATACGCAGCGGTTTCTATGTCGTTGTGCTCGCCGGAGTCTCCGCCGTCATGGTTTGCCGGACTCGGAGTTCGAGGATTCCAATTTCTAGCCATCTGCTGGAGGGGCGGCCCGCCGGGCCGCCAAGCGGTAGTCCGCACCGTGACTAGAGGACCCTGACGCAATCATTGTGACGCACCTGATATATAGGAGCTATAAAGCAAGCTTTGCGAACCCCTTACGCATCGACCTTTCTCCTTCCTGCTCTTGCAAGAATTCACCCCAGACCCCAACAGAGCCAGAGATTATGTCGCACGGCAAAGTTGTCACCCTGTCCACCGGCCAGAAGCTTCCTCAAATCGGGCTGGGCACTTGGCTGTCGAAGCCAAACGAGGTCCAGAATGCTGTATGTGGGGTGAGAGGCTGCAGCGCGTGGTGTACTGACCGCCCGCATCCCCTGCGCAGGTCGAGATCGCGGTGCGCGCGGGATACCGCCACCTCGACCTCGCCATGATCTACAAGAACCAGGACGAGGTCGGGCGCGCGCTCAAGAACGTAGTTCCGGAGGTGTGCCGGCGTGAGGACCTTTTCATCACGTCCAAGCTCTGGAACACCTCGCACAAGAAAGAGCTAGTCGAGAGGGAGCTCGATGAGACGCTTAGCCAGCTTGGCACCGACTACCTGGATCTGTACTGTGCGTAACCACCGCATATAAGGAGGTGGTCCTTAGGCCAGTGTACAAATGTTCATGCTGACATGCTCTTTCAGTGATCCACTGGCCCGTGGCATTCAGGCCAGGCCAGGAGCTCATCCCCACTGGCGAGGATGGCTGGGCCCTCCTGGACACCGAGACGCCGCTCGTCGAGACATGGAGGGCGATGATCGAACTACTCAAAACCGGAAAGGTCAAGGCGATCGGCGTGTCCAATTGCACCGTCGAGCACATCCAAGCCCTCGTCGATGCCACTGGGGTCTGGCCGGCGCGTACCACCATCATTCCCAGCGCGTAGTGGGTGTGCTTACGTATCTACATGCAGACCGTAAATCAGGTCGAGGCGCACCCCCTCCTCCAGCAGGACAACCTCGTGGCGTTCTGCAAGGAGCACAACATCCACATCACCGCATACAGTCCCCTGGGAAATAACAGTGCGTGTCGTGTATGGCGATGGGTCTGCTCTTACTTACGTGTGCATTCCCCTTAGTGTTCGGAAAGGACAGGCTCACCGAGTTCCCCGAGGTCCTGGAAGTCGCGAAGAAGCTCAGCGCGACTCCTGCCCAGGTACTCGTCGCCTGGGGTGTCTATCGCGGGTACTCCGTCATTCCCAAGTCTGTTCATAAAGGTATGTGCAGACCCTCGTCCCCTTCCTTCTTTTGCTGACCATTCTCTCATCATGCCTCGCAGAGCGCCTCATCTCAAACTTCCAGCAAGTCACGCTCTCGCAGGAGGACTACGAAAAGATCACAGAGATCGGCAAGCGCGCGCCCACGCGGTACAACATGCCATTCTGCTACGCCCCCCACTGGAACATCAACATCTTCAACGACCCCGCGGAGCAGGCTGCAGTGCACACGCCCAAGATCAACTAAGAAAAGGCATGCCATTCGCCTGCATACGTGGGCTGGTTGTGGTCGTGGTCTAGGATGCCAACGAGACGGTCTTGAAGAGTATGAACAGTACTGAAGTTTTGTACACATGTATCCATAGGTTCTTCTACTTTGATCGGCTTTGCAAAATGTACGTGTTTTCGGCTTCGGGTGCATTTCCATGTCCATGACACTCGCTATCCAATCTACTACCCGCCACTACAACATTGTCGTTACAAATACAGCACATCTATAGCGCGCCCTGGGCTTTGACCAGATCATAGTAATGTTACCGAAGCCGAACGGAAACATGTCTAATGCTGCATAAACTCCTCGAGCGCGGGACGGGCAAAAGCCAAACGATCAACAGGGTAGCAGAGGTCCTGCCCAGGTCCCCGCATGCCATGCTTTTCCAGCAGATACCAGACATCACCTTTACACACCAACGTATCAAAGCGCGGCTTCCTAGTAGATCTCCTGGTATATCTCTTCCGACAAGACTTCCGTGGACTGTGACCAGCGTCGATGCCAAATAGCGGGTCAAACGGACTTGGGGCTGTATGTTGACCGTCCATGTTGACTGTCGGGGTGCGCATCGTTAAACGGCGTGGTGTGTGATGGCGGCACAGGGAGAGCGGAGAGCGGTGCGAGATTCATAAATGCTACTTGCCATGGGAAATAAGCCACTGCTTGGCTGGGTATATATGAAAGATCGATCTGGTGGATGCAACAGAAATCTGGTTAGATGCGAAAGATGGGCGTTATATGCGCGCGCGCTGTCATGAGTTCGTACGCGAGGTTGCCGTGAATGGTGGTAACGGGCCAGCAAAGAGGGGTGGCCAGGGGGTATATCGCAGACGTACAAGATAGCACGAAGTATGTTGCAAGGATCCGGAGGCCACAAGCAGGCTGGCGGTCTCTCGAAAGGCAGGAGTGGGAGGGATCTGTGCGTGTAGATAAGTCAAGTAGGCGAGGTGTCAAATTCTTCTGGTGTTGATAAATCGACAAGATCTACGTAAGAAAAAGCGCACACGTTAATCCAACCTGGAGGATATATACATATGGCAATTCTTACCGATTGGGGACGTGAACGTCATGACATACGGATGCAGCCTCGACGCCGACGCCGCCCTGTGATGTTGGTGTTGTCGCTGTGCCACAACCGAACTCGATGGCCTTGCCGTCCCTCTCGGTACCGAAAATCGCCGCTGTGCACGCGGCGCCGGATCTTCCAGCCATCCCTGCACCGTAGGCGCACGCCCCAGACCCTGCTCTTGTGCAAAGCCAAAGTGTGGCAATCGCGCAGGCGGAGGCACTGTAACCCGTACAGCCGGAGACGACGGAGGAGACAGAATTTGCGGGCTCGATAGCGAATGCGGGAATGGGTGTCGTTGGTGTAACTGTGCCTGCGCTTGCGATGGTGAGTGTGCATGCGACACGCCCGTTTCGGATCGTGTGTGGGTGACTGGATGCGATTGAGATCGTGAATGATAGGGTGGCGCCTGGCTCTCATCGTGGTCATCACCTTCCGCCTCCTCATCCAAATGGAGGTGATATGATTGAATCAAATCTACCTCAAGCGTCGACTCGTCCGGCATGGACGCCAGTGCCGACTCGCCATCCCAGTGACTTGGTGAGATGACGGGCCGGGGGAAGTGGGACGATGCGACAGAGAATGGTGCCGACATTGACGGCAAAGGGGTCACCGGTGTGCTTTTGGGCGTATTTGGGATCGTGGAAGACTGCTTAGGTTTATAGCCCTCTTCTCGGATAATAGAACGAGGGAAGAAGATCTGAAAAGAATATCAGGGAACGCTACACAAACATCTGCACAATCGAAGACTTACAAGTAGTGTGATGGCTGATGATACAAAACAGCCTATTCCACCGATCATAAAGAGAAAGTCTTTCCGAGAACGATTCTTGGTCATTCATCCTTAAACGTTCAGATATGATGATTGCTTACCTGCTGAAAACCTGCGCATACATTAGCGGAATATTCAGCCTATGTTTACTGCAAATAAAACGTACATATTCGCATTAAGCGGATGACTATGCCCAATGATACCATCCAGTGCTAGCATGAGCAATGGTATCGTGAATAAAAATCGGAAGACCACTCTAGCGAGCTATCGTAGCAAAGGAGGACTCGTCAGTATCTTAACATGACACATACTATATGATGAAAGAGCACTTACGTTCAGCTGTAAAAACGTCGCGAGGCGCACGACGACGCTCGGATCTGCACCTTCCGATTTCACATGCCGGATGAAGTTTGGGAACCACCAGAGCACATATAGAAATACAACTGTTGTACATAGCGATCCTGCTGAGCCTGACAAAAAGATATATGCGTCGACCTAGATGATGCCGATATCACATGAGTGTCAGTCGGTTGTTGGGGATCAGCCGAGCAGCGAATAGAGACTTTCTTACCGTTTCAAGATCTCTTCGAGTAATCATACAAGTGAGCGGCATGCCGATGATGGCAATAATGCTGCCTACAATCGAGGTGCTGTATGTCAGTACATAGCCGCAGCCAGCGCAACGCATGATAGAACCAAAAGAACACTTACCGCAATACCATAGTCGGTATTCCCAGCTATCAAACCACTCCCCCTTGTCTGGATTCTGGTGCAGAAGGTATAGCCAGAATGCCAGCTCTGTCTCCATTCACATGAGTGCATAAGCAATACTACTCTCGCGAGTGTCACTCGCCCACCCACCTTCCAGATGTGTCACTCTACAATGGGGCGGAGGTAAGCTCCACGTAACATCAGAGGAACAAAATAATACTCACAGCTCCAATGCCCATCCAAAGCTGAACACGAAGTTGAGCGGGATTATCCATTTTCGTGACAGTCCAGTGTACATTTCGACCGGTCGGGGCATAACTGCAGGTGGTCCAGGAAGCAGCCAGACCCAGCACGAGATCCGGATAAAGATTGATGGAATAAAATCGAGTCATGTAAAAATGCAAAGTGACGGTATCAAACGGGCAGTGGATAGTGGCCGAGAGAGCAGGCACAGTAGGCAGGCGAAGGCAGTGCACATAGACAACCGAACGAGCCGCAGATGTACATACCAAATTCCGGATAGCAGGTGAACGATGCGTATATGATGGAATTCCAGAGGTAGAGAAAAGCAAAAAAAACAGTCAGGCATCAATCAGTAATCAATGAGTGAATGCAGCGTATGTGCGCCGAAAGTGCCAAATCATCAAAATCATTAAGGAACCATGAAGCTTGATCAGCTTACGCGCAAGGAACAAGCGAAAGGAGCGGAGTACGCACTGTGGGACTCGGGTAGTGCAGAAACAATGAAGCCTGCATACATGCAACAGTGTTAGTGTTGAAACCATCACCCGACAAACATCATGACATCGTTGCATTCCGGCAGGAGCGTGAGTTGGAAGCGACGAACGTGCCCCATCATGCCAATGCGGCGGCGTCAGGGAAGAAAGAGTGTGAGTACGCACCCTGACGAAACTTGATCACCGTCATAGCGACGCTGTATATGACGAATAACGGGACTGAGGCGAGGTAGGAATACTGTGGCGCATGTAGCGAGCGTCCAGTGTTCAGTGTCGCGCGGGCATGAATAGATGATGTAACAATAACAAGGTAAAAGCATGGGATTAGCGTGCGCTCCGGAATAAGGATCGGAGAACGTAGGGAGGAGTGGCATGCGTGGACACACCAGTAATGATGAGAGTCTATGGGAAAAGAGAGCCAAAAACTCACTGTCATAACACGCTTGAATGCGCCAGGTTGGCGACCTGCAGACCAGCGGATGCACGCAAAACGATCATAACACCAAAGGTGGAATATGAGAAAGCCTTGGAACTGTCTCGCGGCAAGAACAAAATCCAAATAAACGAGCGAACCAAATAAAACACATATTCGGAAACCAGAATATATACATTGCGCACAGGTAGAACAAAGAGGTTAGCGCGGATCAATAGAAAGCGAAAAGAGCGACTACGGACCAGGACGGAAAGGATAGCCCACAGCAAGTAGGCTGTTGGGGAAGCTGTGCTCATGCAGAAGATGTAGTGCGAGGCGCAACGCGCACAGCCTGCGTCTTACGAGCAGATCGATACTGGGAGTGGCGAGGGCGTCGGCGTGGCGGCGTTCCCTTATATAGACAGCGGCGCAGTCCAGCGCGGGCGTCGTGTGCAAGTGCAACAAGAGATGAACGGCGGAGGTCTGGGGCAACGAACGTGAGGGTAGCACGACGGGTGGGCGTTGCGCAGGACGTGGGCGACGACGAGCAGAGGGGAGGGGACGGGGGCAAGAGAATGTTGACAGAGACAGTTGACTGGCACATTCCAGGCACACTTCATTTCCTATTTAGGCCATGAACTAAACCCAGTGTTAGACGCCCCGCCTCTGGTCCCCAGATCCGCATCTCAGTTCCTGCTTTAGAGAGGTCCGACTCGCTCCGCCGGAAAGATATGCCCAAATACGGGTAGGACGCGCTGATAGCGACGGTGGCGCGGTGGCGGCGACCGACGACTGACCAATTCTCCGTTTGATCGCCTCATCGTTTGCAATGGTAACCTCCAGTGCCAGTCGCCGCCAGAGCGAGTCTGGGACAAAATTAACTTCAAATTGGACTACAAAGCCAACTACAACGTCGACGACCTCTCGTTTCCATCGACTCCCGTCCATCTATCGCATATCATTCGTTCTGATTCAAGGCAGCTTGCCGGAATCAGCTCGTTATCCTATTCATAGTTCGATATCGACATCCTAGACATCGTCCAGGCCGTTATCTTTCCCCTCAACCTGTCTAGGATGTTAAGGGTACATTCCTCCAGACAAATTCATGACCCAGCTAGTGATATGCTAGTGTCACCTCGGAAATTCATTATGCAGACGACCTCGCTTCCTGGACCGGCGTCTACAAATTTTCCGCTCAATCGCCCCGGGCTCGAGCAATCGGTAAGTTTTCATAATGAATCCATTCCCCATCTGTATCGGATCCTCTCGCAGTGATGATAACCGTCACCTTGGTGAGTCTGCTGTCATCTGTTGTTGCCCATGACCACCCAGCGCGCTCCGTTGTCTCAGCAGACCCGCCTCCGACCCCACCTCTCAAAATCTCCGCACCCAAATGCTCCTCAGGCTGTTCTTTCCAGGAGATATCCCCGAAGGTATGCTCACTCATTGGTCCTGAAACTGTCTTCGAATGGTCCCGAAGGTCCCTTTGAGCAACCCCCTTTTGATTTCTATCAATTCTTCCCCACACGCGGATCAACTAGGCTGTCTGTTCTCATCATCTGCGAATTTGCGCACCCGGATAGCGCCCGTTGGCCTTCTCCCCGAGCACCCCTTCCTGGGGTCACGCTATCCCTGCATTGCTCCTGTCACAGTCAGCCAACCTAAAGTATCTTCGTCATCTGCAGCATCTCTCTAAGTACAACTCCGCAATGAGCCAGTCACCATCGGGATGAATATATTTGCGTGCCAATCTGGGAGTAATCGCAACAGATTATGATGCTTCAAGAGAAAGACAAAGGAATCCAGGTGCAGATCCTGCCTTAACTCCACCTGCAGACTAACGATTGCGTCATGAATCTCCGCTAGGAAGCCAAACGCAATCATATTCTCCGCCCAAATTGCCACTGGACGATACGTAGATTCCAGACCGATTGAAGTTATCTTCAGGAACCCTTATCACGAACGACCACTGAGGTCCCGCATCTGCAAAATCAATTGATCCATCGCAACTTCCTCGATGCATTCATCTCCGTCAGGGAGTTCGAGTCTTGGGATGTTGCAGTTACGTACGCGGCGGCTCTCCCAATTACACACACTGTACATTCAATATTTCAAGCCAGCGAAGTTACAGGATCGCATCACACACTTCTGCAGTCTCACACATCACGGTGCACTGAGCACGGTGCCCATGAACTGCTCATAGCTCATCTGCACCCAGCCGTCTCCGTCCGTGTCGAGGCGGCGGAAGCTTTCTGTGAGCTGCTTTACAACGACGCATGCGCGCACGAACCGGTCGAACGTGATCCCTGGCGGCCCTCCTGTGCCCTGCGAGCCCGAAGGACCCACGCCGGAGCCTGTGTGGATGTCTAGGGTGAGCGTGAGTGGGAGGGCACATTGGCCGGGGAGCTCGTGTGCAACACGAGGATGAGGTGGCTGAGAGATTTGAAGCACTTACCGTACTTCTTCTCGACCATGGCGAGCAGTCTGGGCGAGAGGTTATACCCGAACTGGGTCAGCGCATCGCGCAGCTCCTGGGTGTCAATTGTCCCCGAGCGGTCTCGGTCAAAGTGTCGATAGACGCCTTGCCAGTCCTAACCCTTGTTAGGTCGCGACATTGCGTAAGGTACACGGTCTTGCAGGACGTACGTGTATGTATTTCCAAAGACCAGAAAACTAGGAGTTCGGTCAGGGTGGATGCGAACAGGCGGATAACGATCAGCTCACTTCGTTGAATCCAATCGTCCCGCTTCGGTCGACATCCTAATATTGAGAACATGTGAGGACACAAGTCTTGCCCAATCTGGAGATTCTACTACGTACGAAGATCGTCATGAGCATCTTCACTGTATCCAAGTCAAAGGCTGTCGCGTCCATTAATCCCATACGCTCAATCTGCACCTCGCATGGGACTCACGCGTCCAATCGCCATTGATCAGCGCCTTCTCTGTGCGTCCCAAGCCCAGTCAGTACATCTTCCACGCAACGCATTTATAACACTTACGAAGTTCGTGCATGTTGATCTGCCCCGAACGGTCGGTGTCGACCGCCATGAACCAGTTCCACAACCTGTGTTGCATTCGCAGAGACGACGATCAGCACACGAGTGACACGCAATCCTTCCTCGCGGATGGCGGTCAAGTATGGCTTACTGGGGATCCGCACCAGCTGGTGGTCCGTACGGGCCTCGCGAGGGAGCGAATCCTCCTGGATCGCCATAGCCTGCACTGTACCCACCACTACCACCCGCGTATCCACCTCCCCCACCACCTGCATATCCACCACCTCCACCACCTGCATATCCACCACCGCTACCGCCATATCCTCCGTTGTATCCTCCGCCGCTAGATCCGCCCCCGGGATTACCGCCGTACTGTACGAGATTGTCAGACAAGTGTGATGGCTGTGAGGGGTGTACGTACTGTTCCACCATAAGACATGTTGAAATATTTCGAGAGTCTCCGCTAGAGGATTTGTGCTTGGATGGCAGAGGCGTTGGATGGTCTTCGAGTCGTCGCCTGGCGCGCAGACTTAATACAGTCAGTCAGCTCATATCCGCATGACTGGGCCAATCGATTGCTCCAGCCAAGCCGGCCAGATGAGCGCCGGCAGTGGATACCACCGCCTTCACTGGCAGTGCAGAGCTATGCTGACACTGCCTGGGACAGTGTGACAGTACTTCAGGCTGCAGAAACGAGCTTAGCCACACGTGATTTTCTATCTTCGGGCATACGCCAAGTCAGTGCACGGTGTGGAGATTGACAAGTGAACATTAAGGGATCAAGAATTGCAGGATGAGAAGAGAAAAAAGTGGAGATGTCCATAAGTCAACGCAGAGGAACCTGATACTAATACATTGGGAAAGCACCGCCGATATGGATGGGATGGAAAGCGAAGAAACCAAAATCAAGAAGGGTATACGATCTGTGCACAAGCTCGTAGCACAGGGCTCGGCCCTGCGGACAATAAAAGAAGTAAAAGAAGAGAAAAAGAAAGAAGGGTATAGGCAGGAGACGCCAGCAAATTTGCCATGCTATATGGTAGGCTTATCGTAGATGATCATGGCAGAGCTTCTGTGGTTGCACTAGTGAGCATCGATCAATTAGATCAGACAACCGCAACCATACCTCTTCTCCTCTCCCTGGAAAGGGACGAATAAAAAACATCGTTCAATTCTTACATGGATGGATATAACAAACATATACGTACATTCTCTGTCCAGCTCAGCTGTGCCTTGAGCTCCGTCAGTCCAAACAGCAGAACGACCTTGAACACCTGATGATAATACAGCCCTCTCGGACCCATGCGGGTCACCTTGGGCACATGTCTAACATCGGCTTGAACGGTGCACACTGTCGAGAACAATTCTGCGACGGTTATACAAAAATTAAGCGAATTTGATAGACAATAGAATAAGAGGACTCTCACTCACCTGGTTCCCTATCAGTCCATTCCGGAGAGCTAATCGCACCTCGGTAACAGGTAATATCACTGGAGATGCTCTCCACAGGGTCGGAGCTGTCGCGGCAAAATGAATGATCATACTCTTTCTCTTCCGAGACCAGGGTACCCTATCAAATGTTGCTGTCATGGAGTTGAATACGTTCGACTTTGGATCGCAACATACCTTCGGGAGGAGAGTGGCAAAATAATTCCGGAGGCACGGCGATCCAGCGCAGTCGACTACTATGTCGTTCATGCGAGCCTTGTGTCCCGCGTTGAATGGGTTGAATGGGGTCATGCAACGCGTACCATATGCAAAGGGCGCAACACGCGCGGAGACGACGTGGTCCAAGTAAGACGAGAGTGCGCCCTCTGCCACGGCTTTAGCCCTAGATAGATAGTGATGCAATGCAGCGAGACAGAATGTTCGAGAATGAAACTACTTACGATTGTCCTTCCGGACAGAAGAGTGTCAGGCCGGCATTCTCGGCCCATTCTCGCAGCTTGGTGCGTAGATACGAGCTAGAGGCGAAGCCACCCACCAACAGGATCGTCTGATACGAATGTATTTAAAATGTGCATAATCAAGCTTGCTCGATACATACCGAGACAGGCGCGGATGAGTTTGCGGATTGTGTCTTGATTGCATCTTGGATTTCCTGCACGGCAGGGTCGAAGAAGGAGGCGACTTCGGCCCTGATTACGAAGGCAGATTATTTCAGTAAATATTGACAACTTTCTCGTCCTTCTGTTCTTACCCCGACAAAGTCAGAATACCGCGCTTGATTCCCACTTTCTCATCAGTATCGCGCAAACCGGCGAACTTGATACTGCACGGCTTTGATGGATCTCTGAAGGTCGGCTTGGTCCCAGTCTCAAAGTACTCCATCATTGTTTGTCGATCTTCCGGATTGTCAAAGCGAGATGATTTCAATTTTTCTGATATGTTAGTAGTAACCGGAAATCAGTAAGCTAGCTAGGACTGTGGACGGAATCTGGGTTACTCTCGAGGAATTTGCCGGCGCGGCCGTTCACAAAAGTCGATCCTTGTAGTAAGCCTTGGTGTAAATCAGCCAACCTATGCGCAGTGGACGGATTTAGTTAAGACTTACAGGCTGGCGCCACACTTTCGACCGCGGTCACAGGGGACACATTTGTAATCTTGTATGTACTCAGATCGACTGTACCTCCCCCCGCATCTACGATCATCAGACCTTGACCCGCCTACACGTTCTGTTAGCTGTCTACAGCAAGGATGTCGCCATGTAGCAACTCGCCTTCACACCATCTGTGGCCAACCCATTCCTGAGACAATAATGAAGACTTGCTTCACCTTCTGTGACAAAATGAACGTGAGAGTGCCCGACATCAGTGTCAGGGATCAATCCCGCCTGCACAGCTGCACGCCGGATGTCACTTTGCTGACCACCTTCCCACCCGTTCGGATGACTCAGGACAAAGTCTACGTCGCCACCCGACTGCAAGATCTGTCTCCCTACAGGATGTGTGTCGGATATGAACTCCTTCGCACATTTATAAATGTACGAGAGGAAATCCGCCAGCATCTGGAAGGGAGTCACATTGCTTGGCAGAGGGGGCAGTGAACCCTGCAGCTGCATCGCGTTGGGACGCAGATGGAGCTTGAACCTGTGAACATATAGAATGCATAGATAAGATTGCTGGAATATGAAGTCCAAAGATGTGATCTTACCATTGTGCAAGCACCCAGTCTTCATCGTCTTCCTTGAACCGACTTTCGTCGGACTTAGCTTCAGCGCCCGCAGCGCCGACCGTGCCTTCTGGTGTGTAGTACAAGATGGTAGGAATCTTTGTGTCTCTGAGCTTATTCTCGCCCTCTTGTCCCGGATAACTACAACGCGACGAGGTCAGACAACGAAGGAGTTCAAATGTAAGAACATACCGAGTCACACTGAAAACCTTAGGCACCTCGCCTGGGTCGAGGACACAGAACGCGACGCCACTGTACGTAGTGCCGACATCGATAGCTAAGACAAGTTTACGACTGTCTCCACCGAAAGGCTTGTTGTGCGACATGGTTACGTGAATGCAGTCGTATGCCTCAGCCACAGCGTAAAGACAGCTCATATGTGTGCAGCAAGAGTGCCTCACGGTGTCAACGTTTTCCCCATACTTCCGTTAGAGGAAGGTTTCAGCGGTGTTCTTGAAGCAGCTTGCCTTGCTGTAGGCATGATTGCGAAGCCGCAAACTGCGGGGTATAGTCGTTCGATGCTTCCGCGTTTCCTCAGCGTCAGATACCTGCCTATATAGGATGTGATGTGAGGAACAAGGTAGCGACTTCACAAAAATCAAATTCTGTGTCCATACCCATTAGCTCCCCGCACGTTGCAGCCTCGACCCTGTCTCGATTTCTAAAGGCGGACCATCTAAATGAAAAGCATGCGGCTCCCGGGAGGGAATCACGCTTTGTGCGCATGTGATCTCGACGCAGTTCAAGGCCTCAGGCTGCCCTTCAGCGTGAGACTACCCAAATGCACATATGTCGCTTGTATGCTTCAGATCTGAAGCTGACCCACTCTATCCGTCATGGACTCTATCACTGGCTGGTGCACGCAACTTCCTTCGTCACTATGTCGTCGCTTGCGATGGCTCTTTTCACTATGGACCTCCACAATTTGGCGCGACAGTGGTGGACAGGCAGAAAAGGAGCGGCTCCAGAACGAGCTGATGTTCGCGAAAGCCGAAGTGAACCACTACAAGGACGAGATCCAGAAGCTTCAGCACGAGCTGAAATTCGCGAAAGATCAGGCAGTTCAGTACGAGAATGAGGCGCAACAGAAAACACAGCTCTTGCGATTGGCGGAGGACGATAAGAAGATGTTGACGTCAGAGGTATCCCAGTTCTCAGATCGTCTGCGACAATCGGAGACAGCCAGTATCACGAACCGCCAGCGAGAAGGAAAGGTGGTGAAGAGCCAGCCTTCGCAGATCGAGCTACGCCTCGCTCAGGAGAATAAACAATTGAAACAGCAACAGAGCAAACAAGAGCAGGAGATGTTGAAGTCCAAGCAGGAGCTGCAGGCAGTAGAGGGGCAGCTTGTGTACGCGCGAAAGCGGGAGGAGGCCTTGATGAAAGAGCGCGATTCAATGCAGGCGTTGCTCGACGCGCGGCGCAAGGAGCTCAGCGACGCACAGGTATATCTCACCTCGGTGGATTCGGTATCCGAGAGCGACGTGGCCGGAATGATCACAAAGCTCAATGCGGAGATCTCCCAAGCAGTTACATGGATGGTGGAAGCATTGGATACCCAACCGACAGAGATTCCGAGCGACGACACAATTCAGCAGTTAAAGATGCTATTGGGAGACAGCTTTATCAGGCACTTGTCGACCTTTTACAGCAGAGATGGCGAAGACGATACCTTCCTCCTTGAGATAGTGTTGCAAGCTGCCATACTCTTCTTTGTCGGAACGGTCATTTCGTCGTGGGGATTGAGTGGCGGACAAGCAGACCCTCTCCTTGTTGCCGTCTATGACAGGATGCGATCCACAGGTAAGCAAATCAAAACATAGCTGTCGTTGTAACTGTATCTGATCAGACATCCAGAGGACCAGCGTGTGGTGGGACGTTGGAGGGCGTTGACCCGTAAATACGTGCAGCCAAATGGCGAACATGCACGGATGCAGCTTGCGCACCTCCCCATCATCCTATACAACATATTTCTAGTGGCACGAAGAGGAGGTCTGTCACAAGAGGATCTAGCACAGAATCTCAACGACATCGTTGAGGCTACGCTAGAGCTTCGACGAGTGATCGGAGAAGGCATTGTGGGAAGTGACTACTCTGTCGTGCTGGGCCAGCCTGACCAGCCTTTCGATCCGGATAAGATGATAGACGCACACAACGTCAAAGGCCAAACTCCCAGCAATGGACGTGTTCTCTGCATCGCTGAGTTGGGTCTTGAGCGTATGGAGGGAGGTGTTCAAGGAGCCAGCACAACACAGCGCAATCTACTGGTCAAGCCGAAAGTGGTATTGGATGACGTCCTGCATGAGTTGGGTTTGGACAGCTATGGGGACCGGGACGTCTTGACGAGTGCAGGAAGCACTCCTCCGGGTCAAATGAATCCTCCCGGGAGAGCGTATCATTAGCTCATGCCATGTAATGATTTGTGATTGGGGTTTGGCGTAGTCTATTATATGATAGAGGAGCTAGGTATTAAGTTATGTCAATCGCATGAGGGGGACGGGACGTACACATATTAAATCTACATTAGGGGATACCGTGATACATCCTTCCCTACCTAGCATCTTCCTATTTGCAAGAAGCACCACCGTGAGCTTCACCCCCCTCTCGCTCGTCGTCCGTTCCCGTTATGCAATGTCCGCGCATAATTCAGTGTCTCTCCTCCGCTCCTCCACTTACCGCTCACGATCTACTTCGAACGGCTCCAGTGGCGCACGAGCCGCTTGAAGAGACTCATATATGCGCATGAACACGACGTATACGAGTGATATGAGTGTGATGTGCTTTCGTATCCATATCAGCGCGATCAATCCGTCTGGATACAAGGGCGACGTGGGGGTCAGCGGCGACAGAGGAGAGTAGGCAGCATAGTATTGTGGGTCTTCAGGTGGAACGAGGTTACGTGGCGGAAAGCAAACATCCCGATCCCGCTCCGGGGCCACATACAAAGAAGGATGGGATATATTAGAAGTGCATACCTTGTCGACGATGATCGCTTGGAAGGTCTTGTCTTTCTGTGGCTGCCAGACTGCCGCTTTGCGTTGGCCCAGCAATGCTTCGCGCAACCGGTAAGAAAGCACGACGAAGGGATCCTAGTTCTTTCCAGGCGGTTGCGGAGGATCCAAACCACCAACGAACACGACCGGGGCTAGCTGCGCGAGTAGTTCTGGAGGGTACGAATTCATTGTGACTTGTCTGATACGGGAAGAATTGGAATGCTACGAGCCAAATGAAGCCGAGTTGCAAGCGGAAGCCTGAGGTGTGACACGCCTGGTACGAGCAAGATAAGGAAGGATGTGACCTACGCGCGTTAGATGCTGATGACAGTAGAGTCCATCGAATGGGCCGAGTGTGATGTGAGCATGCACAATCCACAACAGCCGCAACTTAGGCTGATGAAAGGTTGTTTTCAAAGTCGTAGAAAGTGGCTTTATGAGATTTTGTTACATCTGCTAATTACCACGCTCTCCAACTTGCGGCCACAAGTCCGCGGCCTCTGCTCTTGTTCTACTCTACAACAGCGGTCTATGATACATAGTGTCCTTTTTGTCAGAAATTCTTGTCTTGAATGCTGATTACAGGAGATTGTAAACTAATTTAGAATTAATTACAGCCTCATTTAGGTATTTGTAAACAGTTACTGGTTACCTAAGCTCATTTATATTTCAAACAAATTGATTGATTTTGCAATTCTCGCTGGATTGCAATCACAATTCTGATTAGATTAGCTCCCTTTGTCTTTCATCATAATTCACTAAATGATTAAGTGATGTAGTGTGATTATAATGCATTGCAATTTCAGAACTATTGTTCCGACATTGGCCTCACTTGGCACTTATATTCACCATTCTCAATGGACCCACTCTTCGCCCGGACACGTGCACCGGCGCTCCGAGTCCGGCGGCTCCCCAACGCAGAGTTGAACGGCAGACTATTGCGTTCGTAACCTCGCCGGCAGACTCATAATGTTTTGGCCTCACGTATTCCCTGTCTCGAACATGCTCTACGGCTGATATTCACCATTCCCGATGGACCCACTCTTCACCCGAACACATGCACTAGCGCTCCGAGTCCGGCACGTTCCCCAACGCAGAATTGAACGGTAGACCATTGCATTCGTAACCTCGCTGGCAGACTCATGATGTAAGTGAGCGATCGACGACGCAATGTCCGTTAAGTAAGACTTAGTGAGCAGAAGCCTCTTGGTTGAACTTGGGTTCTCATGGCGCATATATATACCGCGACAGTATCCGGCTCATCGTCCAACTCAACTTCCCTCCTAATCAGATCTGCACATCACCGATAAACAAAATCTCGTCCAAATATGTCTCTTCCCACATGTAAGATTGGCCAGCACGTCGTCTCCCCCATTGGTTATGGCTGCATGGGCATATCCGCGTTCTATGGTACCCCTCTGCCTGACGAAGAGGGATTGAAGGTGTGCATTCGCCTTTGTATTGCGTAGAAATCAGTGATATTGAAGAACGTCCTAGGTTCTCGACGCAGTCTATGAGAACGGCTGCACGATGTGGGACACAGCCGACGTATATGCGGACAGTGAGGAGCTGCTTGGAAAATGGTGAGCATATGCACTCATGCACTCAAAAGCGTAATTTTATTTTGTACCAGGTTCAAGCGCACCGGAAAGCGCAATGAAATCTTCCTTGCTACAAAATTCGGGCTAGGCTCCGGCGTGCCCAATCGCATAGTGAACGGCGATCCCGAATACGTTCATCAGGCGTTCAACACGTCTCTGAATCGATTGGGCGTAGACTCTATTGAGTTATATTATCTGCACCGGTGCGCATTTAAACATAACGGCTAGTAATGCAATCGCTTACAGGTCACTTTCACAGGGCGGATCCCCAAGTACCTATCGAAAAGACTGTCGGAGCCATGGCGGAACTTGTCAAGTGAATATATGCAGGCCCCTGTTTGTCAACTTTGCTCACTATTTTCCGTCTATTAGGGCCGGAAAAGTGAAATACCTCGGCCTGTCAGAATGCTCGGCTGACACTTTGCGACGTGCACACGCCGTTCACCCAATCACCGCCATTCAAGTCGAATACTCGCCCTTCACGCTCGATATCGAGGATGAGAAGATCGCGTTATTAAAGACCGCCCGCGAATTAGGTGTGACGATCGTCGCATATTCGCCTCTGGGGCGTGGGCTACTCACGGGCCAATACGTGCATAGTACTTTCTCCGTATATCAGCTCCCTGGCTAATACTTCCAACAGAAATCACCTGACGACTTTGAGGAGGGAGACTTTCGACGCGCAGTCCCTCGGTGCGTCCTTGTTCAAATGAATGATAAAATATGTGATTAATTCGTTCGCTCGCTTACAGCTACTCGCGCGAGAACTTCCCAAACATCCTGAAGCTTGTCGACGGACTCAAGCAGATTGGCGTGCGTCACAACGCAACTGCTGGACAAGTCGCGCTTGCATGGCTCCTCGCACAAGGCCCGGACGTCGTCCCTATCCCTGGGACGACCAACGTTGCGGTGCGTCGGTTTTCTTTTGCAAAGTGGAGCAAGGCTGAGACGTGATGTTGTACTGCAGCGCCTGAAGGAGAATCTGGGCGCAGCGAAGGTGACGTTGACGTCTGAAGAACTGGGAGAAGTGCGCAAAATTGCGAATAGCGCAGACCACGCGAAGGGCGACAGGTATCCGCTTCAGCTTGCGGCGGTCTTGTTTGCGGACACGCCTCGCTTGGAGTAATGTTGTCTAGTTCGAAAGCTGCTGTAGTCCGACTCGTTGGCAGATACAGTTGATAAGCTCGCAACGTATTAGCTGATAATGCATATACAAGTACTCAGTCCAGCGCGCGGTAAGATTTCTCGACTAGCTGCCTTTGCCTGTGCCACTGCCAAGAATAGTAATGGCACGTGGCATTGCAAACGCGGTCCCGTGTCTGACGCGTGAGACAATTCCATGAAAGAGTTCCTGAATTCGTGGCGTTAGACGACATCATCACCTGTCTGAAAGCTCGATGTTATTTCAGTCCTCTTCAGATCCATACAGAAAATCGACTCAGGAACTTATCGTCCTGCGACATGGTGAAGAACACGTTCTAGTACCGGTCCCGGAGTCGTATGAGGTGCAGCCCGCGTATCAAGAGTGGGGGCCGTTGCTTATTGTCTTATACAGGAAGCTCTTGAGCTTGCGCAGGAAGAGTTCAAGCTTCATGGTGAACTGCGCTTCGTCACCCAGGACCTCGCTGGCAGCGATGGACAGAAAGTCAAGATTCATAAGGACGCGTGGAAGGGGATCATTAACTTGCTGAACTCTATGGCCGTAGAATCTGTCGGCAAAGCACCCATGTCTCGGGCAAGCGGGCCAAGCATGAAACTATCCTCTCGTGGTGTCTCAGCGCAGGACCGAGTCGTTCCCCGTGCTAGTCTGGACTCAGTCAGTCATGGAAATAGCTTACCATTGAGTGTTGCGCCTGCACCAGCTCACAATGTTCCTCTTGCCCCTGTTCCATCTCACGTTGGGCCTCCCACTCCGGCGTCATCTTGTACATCCTCGAACAATATGAGCGCGCAAACTAGCCAGAGTGACAAGGGCGGCAACGCCAATAATTCATTAAAGACAAGTGATGATGTTAATGAAAGCATGATCGACGAAGAGATGGACGAGGACAGCGTCATCATAACGAGATTTAAAGGCAAAGATACTCGTCTATACCTAGACGAGGAGGAAGAGGACGAGCTTGACGAACCTAAAGAAATCGGAGAGGAAATACAAAGTGGAGAAGATCCCAAAGGACTGGTAGAACTTCAGGACGTGTATGCAGCCCCGGCAGGCAGCTCTGTCAAGCAAGACCCTGCTCCTGCCCCTAGTCCCGAGCCCAAGAGCGAACCGAAGAAAGAGCAATCCGCAATCGTCTCAACAAAAGATAGCAGACAGAGCTCGGTAGCCAATCAGCGACTCAGTAAGCCGCATTTTCTTCTAACAAAGCCTGTTAGTATAAGGCGTTCGATTGTGTGCCCAGGTTTCACTCGAGAACAACCCATTAAAGTGAAGAAGCGTGCTTCGAATGCCTATGCTCCAGCTCCAGCTACTTGGAGAACCCCATCGAACACTCAGGATTCTGGCAAGTTTCTCGGCTTGTCCTTCCATTTCCGGCATTGATTAGGCTCCTGAATTCCAGGTTTCGCCTCACAGCCACAGGAACGATCGCAGCCTGAAGAGAAGTTTGTTATCAGCATTGAATACCTCAACGGTGCGAACTCTGCAGACAAGTTGATGTTCAAGACACGCGGGCGACACACCGTGGCCAAGGTGTTGCTTCAGGCATGTAGAACGTTTGGCCTTGAGCACCTCTACGACAGGTATGTGCAGCAGTTCATATTCTGTGAAACCAGAAAATAGATTGTTCACGTCGGCGTACAGTGCTCGGCTTGTTCTCATACTTCCAATCCAAGAAGGGGATGGTGAATGGGTTGAAGAAAAGTTCCTTTGCGATCCGGAAGATACAATGTCGATGGTAGGCGCGGGTTCAGAATCTCGCTTCGCGATCGAAGTTGGTAGCGAGATTGACGGTGATGAGTAACTGGCAAACTGAATCTATTGCGGTGCCAAAAACGCTACTTGATGATTAGTCCACCTGCGCAGTGAGATTAGAGGCTGGGGCCTGAGTTCGTATACCGGCCATATGATTGGCTATCATTGATTGTTCTAACTGTACAACATGCATGTCTTGACCTCGATACAATGATTACTGCAAATAATGATACCTGCTGAGCGATGCTAGA